CCCATCCCCATCCCCATCCCCATCCCCATCCCCATCCCCATCCTCATCCTCATCCCCATCCTCATCCCCTCTACCCTTCCTGCTGGTGTCAGCCCTGACTGTCCTGTCCCCATCCCTGTCCCTTTCCCCATCCCCACCACTGTCCCCGCTAGTACCAGCCCTTGAGAACCCCGTCCCCATCCCTGTCCCCATCATCATCCCCGTCCCCACCACCCTCTCTGCAGGTACCAGCTCTGATCACTCCTCTCTTCATCCCTGTTCCCATCCCTGACCTTATGGCCATTCCCATCACTCTCCCTGCAGGTACCAGCGCTGGTTGTCCCTGTCCCCATCCCTGTGCCTGTCCCCATCATCATCCACATCTCTGTCCCTACCACCCTCCTGCAGATACCAGCCCCGATCATTCCTGTCCCCGTCCCCATCCCTGCCCCTATACCTACTTCCATCGCGTTCCCTGTGGGCACCAGACCTGGCCGATCCTGTCCCCATCCCTGTCCCCACCTCTACCCCCACGCCCCTTCCTGCTGGTCCCAGCCTGGCTGTCCCCATCCCTGTCCCCGCAGTGGGTCACCCACCGGGGTTTCGGCACCATGTCCTCGGGCACGGGCGTCCAGATGGACTCAGGCGATTTCTGCTCCCGGAAACGTCCCTCGAAGACGGCGGCCACTTGGGTCATGTCGAAGGCGCAGACGGCCGAGCCGGGGATGCTGAGGGGACACGGGCACAGGGTGAACACCTCAACCCATCCCCCGTGTCCCCCACGGGCACTGGGGTGCACATAGGGGTCGCGCAGCTCCAGGGGTCTCGGTGGGGCACAAGAGGGTCTGACCTGTTGGTGGGCGTGGAGAAGACGGCCAGCACCACGGGGCGCCCGTCCAGCTCCAGGATGTCCGTCACGGCTTGGATGACGTTGAAGTAGAAATGCGAATCACCCGGCACGGAGCAGTTGAGCCGGGCCTTGAGGAAGGAGGTCCACTGCTTCTCCAACACCCTCTGTGAGCCCCCCATGTCGTTCTTGCACACCCGGGCCACCCGGGACACCACCATCTACGAGATGGACACCCATCACCACCTGGTACCCAACCCCGATGACTGTCCCCTTGACCCTAGTCCCCACTCTGGGTGTCTTAGGCCACCACAGAGATGTCTCCCACCTTCTCCAGGTAGTTGAACTCCATGGCGATCTCCCGAAAGAAGAAGTAGACGTGGCTCTTCCATTCCACAGCGTGCACAAAGTAGGGCTCTGTGGGGACAGCAGCAGGGTCAGGGACGTCCCAGGGTGGTATCAAAGGGGACGGGGACCGATGCCGTGTGGCACATGGTGGGCACCACGCCACGGGAGGCACCTTTGAACCATTTGGAGTCGTGCTTGACGGTGCGGAGGGTCGGGCTTTCCCCCAGGCTGCGGTAGATGACGGCGTCGATGGCCAGGAAATCCGTCACCGTGGCGGTGAAGAGCATCCCCCCTGCACGGGAGAGGGACGTCAGCCGAGAGCGGGATCGGGGGATGGCGGGCAGGGAGCCCATCGCGCTGCCACCACCGACCTGTGAAGAGGGCCACGTTGGCGTGCTTGGGGTCGTAGGGACAGCGGGCCATGCCGCTGATGTTGTCCCCGACGGGTTCCAGCGTGTCCATCTGTAGTGGGTGACATGGGGCCGTCAGCCGTGCAGGAGCATCCTCTGCCCGCGGAGCTGGTCACCCAGACACAGCGGGGAGGGGTGACACACGGGGTCGCGGGTGTCACCCCCCAGTCCCGGTGGTGGGGTGGGCGACTCACGCTGTAGTTGGCGCAGACGGGGTTGAAGGCGTTGGTGCCGCAGACGAAGAGAAGGCTCTCGTTGCGCACCAGCAGCACCTTGACGAAGTTACGGCACTCTGCCTGCGCCGGAGAGAGGGGACGTTCACCCCTCGGCACCCGGTGTCCATCCGTCCCCCCACCGCCTGCGCCGGAGAGAGGGGACTGGCACCCCTCGGCACCCGGTGTCCATCCGTCCCCCCACCACCCCTGGGTGCTCCCACCCAGGCCCCCGGTGCTGCGAGGGTCTGGCTTGGGGGTGTTTTCACCCCAAAACAGCATTTAGGGGACCTGGAAATTGGATTTTTGACACATTCTGGGCCGGGCCTGCTCCCATCCCGAAATAATTAATTACAAACCCAATTAGCCCAGCGGTCGATAAATCACGGAGCCACAACCGCCGGCAGGGAGCAGGGAGGCGGAGGGTGACACGGGGAAGGGGGGGGGACACACACAACTTGTCGGTACGAGACGGGGCGCAGAGTGTGCTCGGTCCCCACCGCGGGGGGGAGGTGGTGGGTCCCACGGTGGCGGTGGGTGCAGACCCCCCCACCCCACCCCGTACCTCGTGTTTCCCCTTCATCCGGCAGATGCTGATGTCGTGCTGGTTCGAACGCCACGTCAGCTTCTGGGAGGGGGACACAAAAGCCAACGTGGGGTTGGGGTGAGGCCACCAGACCCCCGCCTGCCCCCCCGGTGTGTCCCCCCGCCCCGGGGGCTCGGCACTTACCCGGTGGTAGCGCATCTCGCCAGCACCGGTGGGCTCCAGGCTGACGCGGTAGACGTTGTCCCTGGGGAGAGGGGGACACGGGTGTCACCACCCCACGGGGCTCCCGGTCGCGGTGCTGGGGGCACCCCGGGGATGCGCCCCCCAAAATGAGGGAGATGCGTGGTTCCGGTGGGGGTGGGGGGGGGCGACGAGCATCACCGGGGCAGGTGGAGCCCCCTGACACCCCTCCCAGGTTGCCCCATGGCAGATTTTGGGGTGCCCCAGGGGTCCCTCCCCATCAAAGAGGGTTGGGGGGGGTGTTGGGTGCCCACCCCCAGCGGGGCGGGAGGTTTTGGGGTGCCGCGGTTCGGACCTCTCCCCGATGAAGAGGGTCCGGTTGACCTTGAGGATGCGCTGGATGTTGAGGCGGTGGGTGCCCCCACCCTCGGGGCCGGCGGGGCGGCTCGTCCCGTGGCCCACGAAGACGGCGTAGTGCTTTACGTCTGGGGGGAGGGGGGGGAAGGG